CACTCTCCTGAGGATAACAAAGAGAGATAAGGAATGGATGTTGTCTGCATGCCAGCAAACACCAGGACCATACGCTGCCATGCTTTGTTATGCAATGATTCCAGACTACGTGCTACTGACCTGGCGTGGTAAAGTGTCCTACCATGGCAGACGGGATAAGGCAGGCCTCCCCAGAAACCTTTTGCAAAGGCTTTGGGAGTACATGAAGGAGAGCTTTCTGGAGATGTCCCTGGAGGATTTCCGCTCCATCCCCATACACGTTAACAGACTTTTCCATTAGCTGTACTGGCCGCAATTGCCAGGGCAAATTAATCATTAATCATTAAACACGCTTGCTTTTAAACCATGTGTAATATTTACAAAGGTACACTCTCCAGAGGTCCCCTGTGTGCCCTCAGGGTTTGGGAGCACGCCTTGGGTGAGTTCGGGGGTTACTGGTTCCAGGTCCAGGGTGATAAACATATCCTGGCTGTTGGGGAAACCGGTTTCTCCGCTTCCTTGCTGCTGTGAGCTATCTACATTATCTTCATCCTCATCTTCCTCGTACCCCGAACCCGCTTCCCTGTTGCGTGTTTCTCCATTGATGGAGTCATAGCACACTGTTGGGGTAGTGGTGGCTGCACCCCCTAGGATCGCATGCAGTTCCGCGTAGAAGCGGCATGTTTGCGGCTCTGCCCCGGACCTTCCGTTTGCCTCTCTGGCTTTGTGGTAGGCTTGCCTTAGCTCCTTAATTTTCACGCGGCACTGCTGTGCGTCCCTGTTATGGCCTCTGTCCTTCATAGCCTTTGAGACCTTTTCTAATATTTTGCCATTTCATTTATTGCTACGGAGTTCAGCTAGCACTGATTCATCTCCCCATATGGCGAGCAGATCCCGTACCTCCCGTTCGGTCCATGATGGAACTCTTTTGCGATCCTGGGACTCCATCATGGCTACCTGTGCTGATGAGCTCTGCATGGTCACCTGTGCTCTCCTCGCTGGGCAAACAGGAAATGAAATTCAAAAGTTTGCGGGGCTTTTCCTGTCTACCTGGTCAGTGCATCTGATTTGAGAGTGTTGTCCAGAGCGGTCACAATGAAGTACTGTGGGATAGCTCCCGGAGGCCAATAACGTCGAATTCCATCCACACTACCCCAATTCCGACCCGCAAAGGCCGATTTTAGCGCTAATCCCCTCGTCGGAGGTGGAGTAAAGAAACTGGTTTAAAGGGCCCTTTAAGTTGAAAAAAAGGGCTTCGTCGTGTGAATGTGTCCAGGCTTAATTCGAATTAACACTGCTAAATTCGACCTAAACTCGTAGTGTAGACCAGGGCTTAGAGTTGCAGCTAGCAAGAGATGTTAAGAGTAACAAGAAGGGTTTCTTCAGGTATGTTAGCAACAAGAAGAAAGTCAAGGAAAGTGTGGGCCCCTTACTGAATGAGGGAGGCAACCTAGTGACAGAGGATGTGGAAAAAGCTAATGTACTCAATGCTTTTTTCCCCTTCTGTCTTCACAAACAAGGTCAGCTCCCAGACTGCTGGACTGGGCAGCACAACATGGGGCAGAGGTGACCAGCCCTCTGTGGAGAAAGAAGTGGTTCGGGACTATTTAGAAAAACTGGACGAGCACAAGTCCCTGGGGCCGGATGCGCTGCATCTGAGGGTGCTAAAGGAGTTGGCGGATGTGATTTCAGAGCCATTGGCCATTATCTTTGAAAACTCATGGCGATCAGGGGAGGTCCCGGATGACTGGAAAAAGGCTAATATAGTGCCCATCTTTAAAAAAGGGAAGGAGGAGGATCTGGGGAACTACATGCCAGTCAGCCTCACCTCAGTCCCCGGAAAAATCATGGAGCAGGTCCTCAAGGAATCAATTCTGAAGCACTTAGAGGAGAGGAAAGTGATCAGGAACAGTCAGCATGGATTCATCAAGGGCAAGTCATGCCTGACTAACCTAATTGCCTTCTATGAGGAGATAACTGGGTCTGTGGATGAGAGGAAAGCAGTGGATGTGTTATTCCTTGACTTTAGCAAAGCTTTTGATACAGTCTCCCACAGTATTCTTGCCACCAAGTTCTTTAAGTATGGGCTGGATAAATGGACTATAAGGTGGATAGAAAGCTGGCTAGATCGTCGGGCTCAACGGGTAGTGATCAACGGCTCCATGTCTAGTTGGCAGCCGGTTTCAAGTGGAGTACCCCAAGGGTCGGTCCTGAGGCCGGTTTTGTTCAATATCTTTATTAATGATCTGGAGGGTGGCGTGGACTGTACTCTCAGCAAGTTTGCAGATGACACTAAACTGGGAGGCATGATAGATACGCTGGAGGGTAGGGATAAGATACAGAGGGACCTAGACAAATTAGAGGATTGGGCCAAAAGAAACCTGATGAGGTTCAACAAGGACAAGTGCAGAGTCCTGCACTTAGGACGGAAGAATCCCATTCACTGTTACAGACCAGGGACTGAATGGCTAGGAAGCAGTTCCCTAGAAAAGGATCTAGGGGTTACAGTGGACGAAAAGCTGGATATGAGTCAACAGTGTGCCCTTGTTGCCAAGAAGGCTAATGGTATATTGGGCTGTATAAGTAGGGGCATTGCCAGCAGATCGAGGGACGTGATCATTCCCCTCTATTCGACATTGGTGAGGCCTCATCTGGAGTACTGTGTCCAGTTTTGGGCCCCACACCAGAAGAAGGATGTGGAAAAATTGGAAAGAGTCCAGCGGAGGGCAACAAAAATGATTAGGGGGCAGGAACACATGACTTATGAGGAGAGGCTGAGGGAACTGGGATTATTTAGTCTGCAGAAGAGAAGAATGAGAGGGGATTTGATAGCTGCTTTCAACTAACTGAAAGGGAGTTCCAAAAAGGATGGATCTAGACTGTTCTCAGTGATACCTGATGACAGAACAAGGAGTAATGGTCTCAAGTTGCAGTGTGGGAGGTTTAGGTTAGATATTAGAAAAAACTTTTTCACTAGGAGGGTAGTGAAGCGCTGGAATGGGTTACCTAGGGAGGTGGTGGAATCTCCTTCCTTAGAGGTTTTTAAGGTCAGGCTTGACAAAGCCCTGGCTGGGATGATTTAGTTGGGAATTGGTCCTGCTTTGAGCAGGGGGTTGGACTAGATGACCTCCTGAGGTCCCTTCCAACCCTGATATTCTCTGATGACTCCGTACCCCTTAGGAGGGAGTCCGCAACAAACACCACCACCCATCTCCTCCCCTCGGGAGTGCTGGTCGTGGAACCCCCATCCTTAGGACAATGCATCGCATGCCCTCTGGTCAATTGGGGTCTCCTTCTGATCCCTTCCCTCAGATGACTCTTCCAAACCATTCTTCACCGTAGTACCTGTGCCGAGAGCCTGAAAACAGTTTCTTACCTCTATCTGCATTGGGGATACATTGGTTCTCCTCTTTCTTCTTCTGGAGGTCACATGCCGCCAATTTTCTTCCCCGTTTTGCACTGCCCTCTCTGATTTTACAGTACCTGCAGTACCAAACACTGACTTGTATCCAGAAAGTCTTCATTTTCTCTGATGCAATGCAGGGTTGATAGTTGGGTGTTTAGTCCTTCAACCTTAGAATCATAGATATTGTTCTGTAGCTTTTGTTTGGCGCAGGTATTTATACCAGACATTTGTAAAGCTGCAACTTGTACTCTTGGGAGAATTCTGCACCACTACGCAATGCAGAATTTTGCAGAAATGAATGTGCATGCAGAATTTCTTTTCTCCCCCAGAAATGGGCTGCAGTTCTTCTGGCCATCACTAGGGGCCACCAGACCTGCCAAACCCAACTCACACATAGAGGACACTGCTGGGGAGAGGAGGGAGCTGCCGTTCCCTGCACTCTCTGAAGGAAGGAGAGGGCAGCGCACAGGAAACTCTGTGCAAGCCTGGGACCCAGGATCAGGCTGTTTCTCCCTCTGGATATCCCTGGGCTCCGAGGGGTAGGAGGGCAGGTATCTGGGCAAAGGGAGCCCTGTGGCTGGGCTCTGGGGGGGAAGGGGTTGTGGATGTATGGCCCCCCGGTTGGGGGGGAAGGGAAGGGGGCAGAGAAATAGGAACTGGGTTGTCATAGGGGTTTCTTTAACTCTCTACTCATGTGGGAATTTTTGTGTCTGTATAGTTAGACATACTTGCTGACAGGTATTTTGAAATAAATACCTAAATAATTGAAACTGGTGTGATTATGTAGTTTTATTTTGAGTAATAAAATTTGCAGAATTTTAAAATATTGTGTGCAGAATTCCCCCGGGAATAAACTTGGGTCATTGGTACATAACTTTTTACAGCTCATTATGCTATATCTCAATATTCCAGAGATGATGCTAAATTTGGATGAGTAATCCTTCCTTCATTGTTCAGGTAGTCTCCAAAATCAGCTCTGGCTTGAATTGCTTGTGAGTCACCTGAAGTGGAATGGACATGTGCAATCTCTTGAAGGAAAAAATGGTTTCTCACCTGGTCTGTATCTGTGATTCTTTGAGATGTTGCACACTCCCATTGCATGACCCACTCTCCTTTCCTTTTATATTGGAGTCTGTCAAGAAAGAAGTAGGAGGCTGTGGGGGCGGGTCTGCCCTCTATGGGATTGTGCAACAGCATAAGGCAACAGAACATGCATGCACCTGTCCCTCACCCCAATTGGGTATTGCTAAAGAAAAAATCTCTGACTCTGTGATAAAGAGAAAAGGAATTTGGTAAAGGAGGATTATAAAACTAGGAAAATAAATGAAACTGGCTTCTTGCATAATCCTTGCTAAGAACTTCAAATTCAGCTGTTGATGCCATGTGTATTCTTTATAATACCCTCAATTTTTATAATATCATAATAATAGGAAATGAAAAATGGGAGGAAGTAGGGAAAACGTAGGTTTCTCTGTAAATAAGTATCTCCAAGGAAACTCTGGTCTATTGTTTGTGTTCATGCTGTACCTTACCTCTGTGAAGACTGATTTGTCTTTTTGTTGCATAATGTTTCATTAAATGTAATTTAATTTAGATATTTTTGTTCTCTCTTTAGATTGGGGCATATGATCAACAAATATGGGAAAAATCTGTTGAACAAAGAGAAATCAAGGTAATATTTTTTCTGTTCTTAGTGTAGGTTATGGCTAACTTAATCTTAAATTTCAAATTACATAAGTATGGTGATTTACACTCCTAAAACTCCTTATTACAATGAAAAAGTAATGTTCATAATGTTCTGAATTCCAGTGTATAACAATAAGTAGTTTGTATGTTGTTTATCATATATTTCCTAATTACTGAAAAAACGCTAGCAATCTGCAGTTCATGGCAAGAAGTTCAATTTTCTTTGTATGAATTCTAATGTCAGTTGTTTGAGCTGTTTTTTACTTTCAGTTAGTTACTCTATACCGCCTTATAGCCTCCTTTTTGATGCTGTCATTGTTTTGTACAGTTTATTGGACTGGTAAGTACTTCAGGATGGTGGTTTTGTGTTACTATGCATAAGCTGCTATGCTTAACTTTGATTCTGCGTTTTGGGGTGACTAACAGAATGTCATCAGTATTTGGTACTGCCAACTTGTTATGCAAAAATAACAATTGATAGTCTTTTGTTGTAATAGATTATGATTTTCTGGAATTCATGGATAATAAATTATATTACACAATTATAGAAATGAGGTAGTTTTCCTAACAAATGAATTTATTATACCAACTTTTTCCCCCTCAAGTTCTGCATATGGTAAATGTGCTGCTATTTCCTGGGCTGAAAGCTGTTGCTGATTTTAGCAGAAATAATTCTGATAATGTATAAATTGCTTAAGATTTCACTGCGTTTTAGTGATTGGATAGTAAAATGAATAGGGGATTTTGATGTGCTTTGGGCATGTCTTATTAAGTGGAAATTCAGCTGCATTAACACATCCAAGACTGACCTGGACTGTGTAATTATGTGACCCTGACTTCACTAGAGAACTTTTTTTTTTTTTTTTCTTCTAAATAATTGCTTTCTACTGAAATGTTCCTATCTTTATATCTGTTAAATGAGAAGAATGCTTGAAAATTTAAATATATTTTAGAGGTCACATCACTGTACACTAATCAGATAGCAATGCTTCAGTTAAATTGTTGCATCATATATACGTTTTTAAATTATGAACTAAATGGTTTAGCCATTGATAGTAAGTATATAATATTTTATAGCAGTGGCTCTCAACCTTTCCAGACTACTGTACCCCATTCAGGAGTCTGTCTTGAGTACCCCCAAGTTTCACCTCACTTAAAAACTACTTGCTTTCAAAATCAGACACAAAAATACAAAAGTGTCACAGCACACTATTACTGAAAAATTGCTTGCTTATTTTTACCAAATAATTATAAAATAAATCAATTTGGAATATAAATATTGTACTTTACATTTCAGGGTATAGTATATAGAGCAGTATAAACGAATCATTCTGTATGAAATTTTAGTTTGTACTGACTTCACTAGTTCTTTTTAAATAGCCTGTTGTAAAACTAGGCAAATATCTAGGTGAGTTGATGTACCCCATGGAAGACCTCTGTGTACCCCCAGGAGTACATGTACCCCTGGTTTAGAACCACTGCTTTATAGTAGTATAGGGGGGAGGGATAGCTCAGTGGTTTGAGCATTGGCCTGCTAAACCCAGGGTTGTGAGTTCAGCCCTTGAGGGGGCCACTTAAGGATCTGGGGCAAAAATCAGTACTTGGTCCTGCTAGTGAAGGCAGGGGGCTGGACTCGATGACCTTTCAGGGTCCCTTCCAGTTCTATGAGATAGGTATACCTCCATATTATATTATTATATTATAGCACCTTTCACATGGGGACTTCTCTTGATTTGGCAACACATAGAAGTGTGTCCATATGTTACAGATATATGGCTCTAAAAACCCTCTTTCAACCAGGGCTCTACAGTTGGTATCACTAGTTGCCCTCAGAAAGGTAATAAAATAATAAAAGCTTGTATACAAATGTTTTCTTTCAAGTTTGTCCTCCTGGGTTAAAGTAGGGAGGATGTCTGAGTGTTAGGTCTTCTGGCTCATCAGAAGACCTGTGTCTCATACAGACATTGTCTAATACAGACTAATGTGTGTTCAAATTGTAAGGATTGGTGGAGTGGCGGGACTTCAGAAGCATTCAACACAATAACTACCTATAATCTCAAATCCGGACATTGGGCACAGTACTTATTAATTGAAGTGTTATTTCAATGAAAACCAACAATAATTACCTCTGCAGTAGTATAACAATCATATACATAAGAAATTGAAATAATCTGTTTCATATGCATTATGTTCTTTTGAAAACATGCTACATGCCTATCAGAGAGAGCTCTTGGTTGGGCAGTCCTATTTTACAATAATTAAACAATTATACATGAGTGGTTAAAATAATACTGTTCACTATCACATTTATATTGTGAGAGTTTAGTATAGTTGCACTTCAAGTAAGTAGTGAATCACGGCTTTGGAAGTAACGTGCTTTTATTACAATAGGCAGCTGGGGCTTTACACAACGTCAGTCCTACTCTACTGCACTGTTGTATTGCTGTTATAAAAGAACTTGCGTAAACATACAAATTCTGTAATTTATGTACCTTGAAAATTTTCATGATTGATCAATTATTTCTCAGGTTTCCATGTTAAAAATAAGTTCTAGTTTACAGTAAATGTTAACTAAAAATGTGCAACTAAGTTCTTTATAGTATGCATTTGCATTCTTGCTTAATTCTGTTCACACTCTTTTTTTTCTTTTCTGTTGCATTTTATTTCTAAAGATAAAACCTTATGAAAAGAAATTTAAGGCCAAGGCTTTCCGAAATAACTAATAGTTTTGGATGCTTTGATTTTTGGGTATCAACTTGAGACTTCTTTAAAGGGTCCTGATTTTCTGAGGTCTAGCACGAGCACTTTTTGAAAATTTGGCTCCATTACAGTTTGGGTATCTACTATCACTAGTCAGTTTTTAATATATTGGGCTAAAATACTGCATAAACTTGATACATGCATTCTTTTGGGGTGTTTTATCTACTCGGTACGTATTTTTATACAGTTTGACTGAAATAGAGATAATATTCTAAATGAACAAATAAAACAAAACATACCAGCTTTGAAGTTTCTAAAGAGTAAACATACACTATAACCGCTTGCAGATAGATTCTGAAAGGAACAAGGACCAAGATTTTAAAAAATGATTAGTAATTTTATGTGCCTCAGTTTTTTGTGATCAACCTGAAACACCCTAAAATGGCCTGATTTTCAGAAAGTGATGAGCACTCAAGCTTTAGAAAATCTGGCTCCTTTAATGTGTCTCATATTGAGCCCCCAAAACTGAGGCACCCAAAATGACCTAGTCACTTTCTGGAAACTTGGCCAGGCTAAATGTGGTGTCATAGAATATCAGGGTTGGAAGGGACCTCAGGAGGTCATCTCGTCCAACCCCCTGCTCAAAGCAGGACCCAATCCCCAACTAAATCATTCCAGCCAGGGCTTTGTCAATCCTGACCACCACCTCCCTAGGTAACCCATTCCAGTGCTTCACCACCCTCCTAGTGAAAAAGTTTTTCCTAATAGCCAACCCTAAACCACCCCCATGCAACTTGAGACCATTATTCCTTGTTCTGTCATCTGGTACCACCGAGAACAGTCTAGATCCATCCTCTTTGGAACCCCCTTTCAGGTAGTTGAAAGCAACTATCAAATCTCTAGATGAGGCCTCACCAATGTTGAACAGAGGGGAATGATCACGTCCCTCGATCTGCTGGCAATGCCCCTACTTATACAGCCCAAAATGCCGTTAACCTTCTTGGCACCAAGGGCACACTGTTGACTCGTATCCAGCTTCTCCTCCACTGTAACCCCTAGGTCCTTTTCTGCAGAACTGCTGCCTAGCCATTCGGTCCATAGTCTGTAGCAGTGCGTGGGATTCTTCTGTCCTAAGTGCAGGACTCTGCACTTGTTCTTGTTGAACCTCATAAGATTTCTTTTGGCCCAGTCCTCTAATGTCATGGCTGGGCATTCACTAATGTTAGTTTCCACGTGAATGTTGCCAAGTATTTTATTTCTCTCATATATGAGCTGTTGCATTTTGTCATTTTCAATATAACAAGTTCTAACTCTGTGCTATTACAAATATTAATTAAAATGTATTTGCAACATTAATGGGATTACACAGGCTTATTTGGCAGCTAGGAATCTGCTCTGCCTATCCAGTGTGGAACCCCTCCTTCCTGCAACATCCTGCGTTCTCAAGATTTCCTTTAGTGCTGACATCAGTGCTCATCCCAATGCCGGCATAGATACTGGCCTCAGTACCCTCAACTCTCACAGTGCTGCATAGACTTTCTAGATTGCCTGGCGCCCTTACCAGCACTGCATCGCCTCTGCCTAAAGAATACTCCTATTCTTCTGACTCCAGAGCAGTGAGAAGCCTCTCTGGGTAGATTGCAAAGGTCAAGATCTTTGCTTTCTTCAGCTCGGGAAAGGCACTTCCCTCATTATTAGTAACTTTTGTAGCCCAAGTCACAGACCGGGACCTCATTGTGCTAGGTGTCGTACGAACATAGAACAGAAAGATAAGATCCCAGGGCAGGGACCATAATCTGAGTAAGATGAGACAACAGATGGATGGACAGATGGGAGAGTGCCAAGTAAACAATGAGACAATATTTGTTCAGTCATAGCTAGTAGTCTCAGCACACTAGCAGCCTAACCATTGAAGAGGGATTTGAAGGTGGATAAATGAAGTAGCTTTACGTATATTTACAGAGAGTGTCCTCCAAGTGTGCAGGACAGGATGGGAGAAAGCATGAAGATATTTGTTAGAAAATTTAACAAATGCGCAGTGGAGGGTGGCTTTGTTGGCCAATTGGAGGAGAGAATTGACAGCTTGATAACTAACAAGATGATAGGTCGGGTGAGGATTGACTGTGAAGGGCCTTGAAAGTGAATACATGCACATTGTTTTTGATAGAGAAATGAAGAGACAGTGGAGGGGTTCAAAGAGAAGGGTGGCATGGGCAAAGTGACAGTCTCTGCAAATGATCTTTGTAGCAGCATTCTGAATGGATGTGAGTGGAGCAAGACTGCATT